GACCGGACAGGACCTTTGGGCTGGACCGGGCGGCTGGTCACGGGGACTGTGTTAACATAACGCTCGAGTTCAGCTGCAAAATTCAGGTGAATGTCGTTGGGCGACACTGGGGGACTGGAGGTGGTGCTTCGTTGAGACGCGTAGACTACACCAGGGCGTTCTGTGCTACTCGGGGAGACATACTGGGCGGCAACCTGTTGAACGTGGGGTCGTGGAGTGATAGCGACGGACTGGGGTCGTTCACGGGCGATCGATCGGGGGGTTGAACTGGTCTCGAGGGCTTGGTAGGATGGGGTTGGATGGAACCGGGTCGGGGTGGGACTGGCCAGACTCTGATATCTCGGGGCTGGTGTCGAGTGATAGGGGGTCGACGCCGTTGTCTGGGTGGTGGCCGCTGCTGGTGTCACAGAGTATAGTGATTCACCCTGGATCGGGTTGACTTGAAGGTAATTAGGGCGGGGACGCGCACGGAAGGTGCTCGGTCTGATCACGACCTTGGGTTCCTCTTCTTCGAGCTCCTGGCTAGCGTCGTCGTCTTGAAGGGCGTACTCTGTCTGGAAGATCGTGGTAGGGGCTCGGGCTGTCGTTGTCCTGGGATAATTCTGGATGGGGCGCGGTCGGATCACTGGGTAGTTAGCGGGTCCCGGGAGGTCATCGTCCTCTCCCTTTCTTGGCAGGTCATCGTCTTCTTCCTCTTTGGGTGCATTTGGATCACAGGGATTCCCCGATACGTATGTGAACTCTCGTTTATTTCCATCAGGGTCAACGTATCCGTATTTACCACGGACCACGCAATCTGTTCCTCTTGTTTCCTCCTTGAAGGAGCCATCAGCTGCCTCGTAACCGAAGGTGAAGGAACCATCGTCATTCACTTTATTATAATTTCTGATTGTCTGGACTGGTGGCGCTTTTGACGGATTTAGGGTGTCTTTGGAACGGGGAGAGGGTAGGGCACGGGTTCTTGGTTGATAGATCTCAGGACTTGGAGAGTATTCCTCTTCCCCCTGGGCATCATCATCCTCGTAGTACACCTGGGGCTCCGTCACCCGTGGACGTATTTGCACACGTCTCGCTGTACTCAGCGCCAGAAGGCATGTCTGCAACATAGAAGTCGGGGTTAGACTCTTTCTGGCGGGAAACGTGGGAATATTTGAATTCTCATTTTCACGAGAACCGAAAATATAATCTAAATGATACGGATGAAGGGTAGAAAATCATCAACAAAGAGAGCAAAAAGTGATCTTTAACAAGGTGTTACTTCACAGATTTGCCAATACAGCAACATACACATTGGAGAATAAAACATGACACAGACTCGGGGCCGCTTTGTACCGTGAGAACCAATGTATCGCAACTGCTTCAGATGCGCGTGAAGACATATTCACTATTTTACATTATCTGCCGGTTTATTTCACTTTACTAATCAGGTAAAAACAAGTGATTGGGTGAGTTGGTGATTCAACGAGGCTGACTGATGCTTGTTGCTGTCCGATAACCAGTTGACCGTGTGTTCAAGTTTTATATGGAATACCCAGGAAGTACATAGGGAAGAAAGTATGTAAAGCTGGTTGAGTGTCTCGAGTGGTGAGTGAAAATGAGAGCGAGGAAAAAGTGTCGGTTGCGGTTGGCATCACTCAATCACCATATTCATAAGTATTTCAATCTTGAATAATTTAATGGAGATAATTATACCGTTATGGGGATTTTTCCGGGTCGATGAAAAATGGATGAAGAATAATTAATTAATTTGGTTATTATTGATTATAGTTGTTTAGGTGGAATGCATCAACTTCCGGGCAAAATATTTTTGTAACTTTGGAATTGTGAGAACATACGGCATTTGTGTTGGATTACGTAAGACTGATTTTATATGTGACCCGAATCCGGGGCGAGGCCCGGCTCTTGTGCGACCTAGCGTGAGATTCAGATTGAGACCGTCGTAACTCGCGCCCGCTCTCCTTGAACCAAAGTCTGGCGAAAAGGTAATGCTTCAACCACGCCTCTATTAAGAGTCCCTTTTAAGTACTTGAGTGAAAGAAAGTTGATGATAAAAATTCAGCCTTTGTCAGTATTCATCACCCCCGGCAAATTCCTGAATAATTGCTGTGACCTGACGGGGTGCCGACATTTTGAAGATAAGTCTTGGAAATTCATTTTACATTTAAATTAATGACAATAGAAATATACCGGAGAAATTTCTTCTCGAGCATCGGTTTATTGGAGGTACATTCTAAAAATCTGTCGAAAAAATTTCACCTTCGGAGATTG